GTACCTTGTAGAAAAAAAAAAAACCAAACCAGTTATTGATTTGAATTCACAAGGACTCTCTCTACCTGCTTGTGTTTTGTCTTCACTAACTTGACTCCAAAATCATAACTAGTTCAAATAACAGTACCAGTGGTACAACAATATTTTCTGGTTCTTGGAACAAGTCCGCCAAGTTCTAACTGCTCAACTTCCCTCCTACCCTTTCACTTCCCCCCGTCCCCCTGCTCCCTTTATACATTTCTCCTTCTGCAAAAGCCCTCCTGTGCCCTTTCTTTCAAGAGGTTTCAATCACAGTGGCAGCCACACCTATGATTATAACACTAAACCAGCAGAAAGTATGGCTTTAAGAATTTAATCTCAACTTCCGTTAGAAAATAATCAGAAACGCAGATACATAAACGTGTTGTTTTGTTCTGTTTTACTGGGACAAGCCAACAACCACAGCATAGCAATGGTTTTACAACAAAAGCAACTGAACCTACAAGCAAACACAGGTGAACGGAGCTAACTTGCTTCTTTCACTCTCGTAACAGAAGTCGTATTTTTCTGACTAATTGTTAAGACCCCAACACACAGTTACTTGTGACCATAAACAGACATTAATTAATCATTTTGTAAAATTTTACAGAAATAGGGTAAAAACAGCTCAGCTATGAAGAGCTCTGCATTATCGTGAAGGCATTATGTGAAGAAAAACATCATCTGAATACACAAACAATTATCGCTAATATGTCACTTAGGCGCTATTTGTCTCTATTGCTTCACTCAGGTGGAAATACTTATACATGTTTTTTAAAGCATCTCAATTCGAATTCAGTAACAATAAATCCCTCATTATTATTTGCAACTCCTCGGATAGTAAACATTTCACAACTATTTTATTTAAAGGGACCAGCCACGTACTGTGACCTAAATAATAGACTATTACATTTAATTTTGTTTCTTCAATAATGTAGACCAAAATATTTCGAGCATGTCCTCAGTGTTTGGGAAAGAGGTGGACAGTGGTACCCACATGGAAGAGTTCTAGAAGAAGCCAAGATAATTTTGATTAACCTGCTTTATAGCTGTCTGACATGTAAAGATACAACAGGCATGGGCGGTACATAAAAGCATCTTTCACTGGTGTCATTCACAAGCCACACTGACCTCTAGGTTGTAAAACAAAACTACCAACAATGAAATCTGTAAATCCAACTGGCAGGAGAGCAGAGCTGTGACTGAGATGAGGCATGTGAGGCACCTGGGGCGGAAAATCTGAAGAGGCACTTATTGCAGGACTCTGAGAGTCGGTGCATCTTCAAATTTTGCGCCCTGCCTCACTCGCCACATCCTAACTTTCTGCCCTGCACAAAACCCCAAGGAGAAGTTGGCTGCAAGAGTCAAGGAGGCCTGATCTCCACATTCCACAGCTTTGAAGCAAAGCTTGAGAACCAGCCTTACCGCAAGTAAAAAGGATTTACTCATCTCTACACCAGTACTTGGAGACTGCCATTTCCCTTGGGACCAGCCTGTTGTGCCTTGTTAGGACAACAAAGCCTTCTCCCCTCATTCTCCCCACAAAGAGTTTCTGATAAGGATCCAGTAGTTCCTCTCCCAGATCCTAGAGCCCTGCTGGAGAACAGCAATCCAATATCTCAGGCCCTGTCACCTTCTGACAGAATTCACCTACAGATCACCTATTTAGACTGATATTACCTTCCCTTGACTTCACACCTTGGTCTTACAGCCTAGCTTACTTCCCCCTCCCCGCCCCGTGCAATTCCCAGTACTGCCTACTTGCTGAGATTTCCCTTTGGTCTCCTAGTCTATGCTTCTTAGAAGAGTCTGTAGTTGAGTCTGTCTCCTTTCAAATGGCTCCCAGTTTGTCCTACCCCATCAAAGTTGACAGAACCATCCAATCCCTGTGACAACCAACGGTACCGCCACACATTTATTAAAAGCATCTGCTAGGGAAACCGCTAGCTCTGTTGAGACGCCCTGGAAGAGAAGACATAGCGTCTGGTTGTATGGTGGGCTGCAGATGGGCAGTCCCGAGCCAGTTAGACATGACACATAGTACCAGCTAACCCTAAAGCTGACTTCAAGCAATGCAGGAGTTAGAGCAGCTGAGGGTGGAAATAGAAGCAAATAGGTAAATACTCCAAAAATAAGATAAATCATGAAAGCATTTTAAGACAGTTTAGCATCATATTAAAATGATTATCACCACTTTGTTGAGTACTATGTTGTCTTGGGCAGCCCCTGCTGTGAATAAACAAAAACGTCAGAACCTGGCAGAGCCATAAGCAACAGCCCACTTCCCAAAATGGGGCGAGCAGCTATAGACCAATCAGCGGTGTCGGGTGTTTCCGGCTACTCAGTATGGACATGATTGTGAGTCAGAACCAGTCCCAACTTTAACCAGAGCTTCCACTCTGCCAGACACTACAATAGAAGTTGGGGTACAAAGACCAATATGCTGGAATGCTCAGTCTCTTCAGCTTTACAGATAAGCCTCACTATTACCTCTAAACAAAGTGGAAGCCAGGGCCAGCAGCACACACCAGGAATCCCAGCACTTTGGAAGGCTGATTTGGGCAGACAGCTTGAAGCCAGGAGTTTGAGACCAGCCTGGCCAACATGGTGAAACCTCCATCTCTACTAAAAATACAAAAAATAGCTGGGCACGGTGGCACAAACTTGTAATCCCAGGTACTTGGGAGGCTGAGTCAGGAGAATCACTTAAACACAGAAGGCAGAGGTTGCAGTGAGCCGAGATCGCACCACTCACTGCACTCCAGCCGAGGCAACAGAGAAAAACTCTGTCTCAAAACAACAACAACAACAGCAAGTGAAGTGACACTTCACTTTAGAATTTTCTTTTTCCTAAACTTGGATTTCTAAAATGTTTCTAAGCTAGCAGTTTGTAAAACCTTTTTTTTTTTTTTCTTAAAAATCTAGCACATTTAAAGTATTGGAAATTCTAGGCTTTAAAAAATATTGGGATTATACCAGTGCTTATTTATCTCTGTAAACTAGTCAGAACAGAGGCCCTCTAACTAGAGACATTAGAGTAGAATTTATTAACACACTCCAGAAGTAGGGAAATAGTTTACATTCACATAGTGAGACATAAAGCCTGTTCTAAATTATAGACACACGACACAGAGAGGTTATTGCTTCTGTTTTACAACTTCAATCTCAGGTCAAAAGTAAACACAAAACCACAAAAATTCACCAGCACTTCTGCTTGAGCTGCCTTTATGTTAAAACAGACAGGCTAAGTGTGGTGACTCATGCCTGTAATCCAGCATGGGAGGCTGAGGCAGGCAGTTCACCAGGTCAGGAGTTCAAGACCAGTCTGACCAACATGGAGAAACCCTGTCTCTACTGAAAATACACAAATTAACTAGGCGTGGGGGCATGTGCCTGTAATCTCAGCTACTCAGGAGGCTGAGACAGGAGAATCACTTGAACCTGGGAGGCGGAGGTTGCAGTGAGCCAAGATCGTAGCACTGCCCTTCAGCCTGGGTAACAATGCAAGACTCCATCTCAAAAACAACAAAAACAGACAAAACAAAACCTCACCAGCCCACATCTCAAATACCTGTCCTCCTTCCCTCTCAGTGGACACAAAAGTAATTAATTTGAGCTCACAAATGATAAACAAAAAGACTTACAAACTGGATTCATCACCTCTCTTTATTTATTTATTTGAAACTCTGGCTTCAAGCAATCCTCCCACCTCAGCCCCAAGTGGCTGCGATTACAGGTTTGTGCCACTGCACCTATCTACCTCTCTACCAGTGGAGACTAGACAGCCATCATCCAACAGATATCACCAAATAGTTAGACCACAAAACCAAACTCCCAATCATTGCTGCTATCAGTGTATCAGTAATGTGTAACTTATACCTGAATAACGTATTGGGAATGTACAAATCAGAAACAAAAACCAAAATTTTAAAAATCAGTAAAAAGGAAAACAGGATAACCACTTGGGATTTCTCTAAGAGCAAATAAAAAACATGCCTCAGCTTGAACAATCTGTGATGTATACATTTCTTTAGCCAGACAGTTTGATTCATCACATAAGTCCACTTGGGCATCTCTGTGGAATCTTAAGATTTCCAATATTATAGTATAATTCTCAAAAATCTAAAATCATGTCTCTAATGTGAACATAAAATGAATATACGTCAAAGTTTTATTCAACTCATTAGTTAATGAGGGAACTGATAAGACTTTAAAACCAGTACAGATATTAGAGACGCTAGGCATATATCACTAAAGAAATGTTAAGATAGAATTGCCGGGTTAGATACAACACTGACTAATGTGTTACAGAACAATAAATCATAACCTGTGTTGGTATCTGGTGCACCAAAAAAAATTATTTGCATCCCTATCAGACCAAAATTCCAACCAAAGCTAACCTTTGTCCCTACAGAATTGTCAAACAGCCCAGTCAATATAATAAAGTCCACAGCAGCACTGAAACAAAAACCAGTAAATCTCTTTTGCCTATTTCCAAGTTTTAGTCATTTTTTCCCACAGAAATGAGATATTGCAAATATTGCATGGAACATAGATGTACTAAAAAAACTATCAATTCATCTGAAATTCATACTGCATTTATCCTGCAACCATACCCACGAGTTAACCAAAACTTTACCAAGTTTGTACAGTTCTGTTGCCAACATGGTATCTCTTAAATCTGTTCCTCAGCTTCATCTTTCCGTAGATAATAAATAATACATTAAGTGCTATTTCTATTGCACGACTATTCTTCATATTTACCACTGGAGGGCGCACATAACTCGTAGTATACTAGATAAGAGGTCTTGAAGAAACCATCTGAGCGTTTCTGCATCCCAACCACTAGAGGGAAGTACAGGAACATCAGATTGTGCAACCAGATCCTTGACTCGCGCCCTAAGCAGCCATGCGCAGGCGCAAAACTGCTCCCCAGGCCAGACCCGGCCTGCGCATGCGTTTAAGTGCGCGCGCAGACTCTGTTGTTAACATTAGATGGAAAAGGGTGCGCGCGGCTGGAAGCGCGCATGCGCCTTGGCTGCTGCTGTAGGCTCCTTTCAGTGCTGAGCATCCCGCCTGTCTCGTGCGGGATGGAAATGCCCAACCGAGGGACGCGCCCAGAGGACAGCTCTGTGCTGATCCCCACCGACAATTGGACCCCACACAAGGAGGATCTTAGCAACAAGGTGAGGGTGAGACGCGACGGAAAGGCTCTTGAACTCGGGCACCGGGCGCCACTGGACCCTGAAGTTGGTCCGCAGGGGGCAGCCTGGGGCCTGCCCGAGTCTCGGCTTTTGCCCTACTACTTTGCTCTTTTTATTCTTAGCACTTGACAGCCACAGTTAGTCCTTTTATTTTCTGAAAACAGTTGCGATAAAGGAGATCTTGAAATTTGTCCCGAGATTGGACCCTCCGGTGGCAGTCGGGGCGGAGTTTTGGTTCAGGGTTGTCCTCCCTAGTCTTTTTAAACTTTTGGAAATACCTCCCACCCCAAACCTGTTCCACCGCAGATATTCTCCATCCAGTTAACCATGCCAGCAACCCGGGGTCCATCCTTGACGCCCCTCACGGAGGCTTATCAGTTCTACCTGTCAAGCTCATCTCAACGTCCCTTTATCACCGTCTACACTCTCAGCACCCCAAATAAGTCACCGTCATCTGCCATTGGGAACTCCCCGCCACCCCCACCGCGAAAGAGGAAGCCAATATAATATAAACCTTAACTGCCACAGACAAAACCTTTAAAGATAAATGGGGGTGGGTGGTGAGGAGGGATAAAGTGGGGAGAAATGCCTGATATAGTTGTTGGGGAATGAAGGCAGCAAACTACTTTGCCATGTATGTAACTATGCAACAATCTTGCATGATCTGCACATGTACCCTTTTCCCGCGAATGTTAACAACAGAGTCTGCGCGCGCACTTAAACGCATGCGCAGGCCGGGTCCTGGGGAGCAGTTTTGCACCTGCGCATGGCTGCTTAGGGCGTGAGTCAAGGATCTGGTTGCAATTTAAAAAAATATATTACTATTTCGAAAATACATCTTTATTGACAAGTTTGAGGGGTAACTGCCCCCTGCAATATAATAGGTCAGCACTTTTTTTGGTTCAAATTTTATTGCATATTAGAAATCACCTGAGGAGATATTTTTTCCCAATAGTTTTTAGGGAATAGGTGGTTTTTGGCTACAAGGATACGTTATTTAGTGGTGATTTGTTAGATTTTGGTGTACCTGTCACCCAAAAAGTGTTAAAAAAAAAACTTTTTGTGTGTTATTCTGATTACCACCATAACAAGCCACTTATGCGTACTGATGGATACAGATCCCTGAGGCATGTGAGGTCGCACAAATATTGTAAAAGCTGCTTTTAGAGGCACTTATGACACTATGTAGTGAGTCATGTTCACAAAATAAAGAGTTGAAAAGAAACTTAGTTTTCACTTAGTTGAGCCCTCACCTACAAATAAATAATGCCACTGGCCAGAACAGACACCCAGGCCTGTAGTCCCACCTACTCTAGGAGGCTAAGGGTGGGAGAATCACCTGAGCCCAGGAAGGTCAAGGCTGTACTAGGCCTTGATGGCGCCACTGCATTCCAGCTTGGTCGACAGAGCAAGACCCTGTTTCACAAAAATAGAAGAAGCCTAGTTCAAGAGCACCAGCTCTTTGCTAATCATTGAGATAAAAAGAGGGAAAAATACAAGGAATGGAACGTGATAGGTCTTACTGTCCCCAAATAGGGCACTGCTTGATTTGAATGTTTGACTATACCACTTAGTACACAAAATCATGAAAATGTTGAAAAAAGTAACCCACCTCTCATTCTATTTGCCTTTCTTTTAAAAAAAAAATCTAAATCACGACTTAATTGAAAGACTGGAATGGCTTTTGGTGTATATCATATATTTTTAATAAAGCTATAAACATCATTTAGTAACTGTAGTCCTTGGCGTGATTGCTGGATACAAATACCAAATCCCCTGTCAGGACTTAATGGGTTATCTAACATTTTGCAAATGTGATCACTGTTTTTTCTCCTCCAGCTTTTCCCCAACTGTACCTCAACACAGACTGCTGTTGAAAATGATCTGTATATTCATGAACTGCTCATTTGGAAAATCAGTACATCATTGCCCCTTATCCCATCTCTAATTTTAAAACAACCCCTTAAGAGGGATTCTCATTGAGCATACTTTGAAAACATCTAACTTAAGGAGTTTTTTTTTTTTTTCCCCATTATTTCAATAGATTAAAGAACAAAAAATTGTTGTGGATGAACTTTCTAACCTTAAGAAGAACAGGGTGAGTTATTATAGGAATTCTGAATAACATGTGGGAGGTTTATTTAACTGTATATTAAAATTATAAGAATTATATACAAGATATAATCATACTTTAATAAAATTTATAGTATTTCAGCATCCTTTTAGTTACAGGTGTCTAGATTCTTTTTTAATGGATAGATCTCATGGTTGAAAATGTCTTTTTTTCTATTATATGCCATTCACATATAATAGAAAAAATTGCAACAAATGATTCTAGTTGTATTTTGGTATCTTGGAGGCTGTAATCATTAATGATGTTTATTTTATACTTGAATTTGGTGTTTTCTTTGATATACATGAACTTTGTATTGAGATGAGAAGAAACTTTTAAATGAATGTGGATAATTAATGAACAAAAAAGGATACATTGCTTCCCCTCCTCTAAAAAATTTTTACATAGATTTTTCTAAATGTGTAACATGGTTATTTAATGTCATTTCCATTAATATAAACAAGCAAGCTACTGCTTTGTGTATAATTATAGTGTCAAATTACATTTTAAAGTTTAGGAAGAAATGAGTTTGACCTCTTAAAAGCATTTTAAAGATTATTTAATAACGGGCAGGTGAGATATTTCTCATATTGTCACTTATGGAATATTAGAAGTTGAGGCACATACAAAAATTAGCTGGGCACATCTTTGTAATCCCAGCTACTTAGAAGGCCGAGGCACAAGAATCGCTTGAACCTGGGAGGCAGAGGTTGCCGTGAGCCGAGATCATGCTACTGCACTCGAGCGTAGGTGACAGAGCAGGACTCCATCTCAAAAAAAAAAAAAGTCCAGGCACAATTAATACAAACTTTCTCTAGAGGCCAAATTGGCAGAAAGTCTCAACAACTCAAAACTGTAACACTTTGACTCAGCAGTTCCATTTGTGGTAACTGATTCTTTGTAGAGAATCACGGGAGTGCACAAAGATTTGGTTACGAAGATATTCATCACAACATTGATTTACAGCAGTAAAGAGTTGGTAACACCTTAAATGTCTAGTATTTGAACGCTGAGCAAATAAACTGTAATATGTTATATACCTATATAGCAGGAAGTATGATTTGGTTGCCGCAGCTTGTTTTGGCATTTTAGTGTTCCTGTAAATGAACACTTAAGAAAAAGTGTTCTCAATGTATTGCTCATTGATGAAAAGCACAAATCTGCAGGCATAGTAAGAACCTTTTTTGTTAAAATGGTACATGGAGAGAAAATCGTTTCATTTCAGTAGTAGCAATTTCTGGTGTTAGGGTAATGGGTGACTTTTACTTGTCTTTTTGTTTATCTGTATTTGCTAAAGTATTGTGCTGAATATATATTACTGAAGTTCAAGAATTAGTGATAATAGGGTTAAGGATTTTAACATCTACTTTTTAGATCAAAACTTGATATTAGCCTAAATTATGTTTTGCAGAAAGTATATAGGCAACAACAGAACAGCAATATATTCTTTCTTGCAGACCGAACAGAAATGCTGTCTGAGAGCAAAAGTAAGTTTTTTTTTGTGGGGGGAGCAGGTTTGGGAGGGGTGCCTAAATTATACTCATCTGAATGTTAAAATATATATCTAAAGAATAATGCAGCAGTTTGGTTTTCTTCAAGTTAGCCTTTCAAAGATGAGTCAACAGTTTTAAAAATATATATATCATAATATGTGTTAGAAAGCAATAGTTATTAACATGTGCTTTAGAGTCTCAACAGGTCTAAGTATGACAAACTGTAACCATCTTCTACGTTTGTGACTTCAGGTGAAATACTTTAAGCCTCCAAGGTATTGTGGGATCTAAATAAGATGCTATATATAAAGTGCTTAGCCAAGTGCTTGGGCCAAAATGAGCACTCAGCAAACAGAAGCTATTTTTCTAAAAGATAAATATATTTTATTAGTAGCCTGTTGTTAATTATTATTGGCACTGGCACAGTGTGTGTGTTTATATGGTTTGATTTGGTAAACAGACTTGTATTGCCCTATGATTACTAGGTAAAAGTTCAAAATTTTTATTTTATTTAATATTTATTCTCCTTCCCTGCAACAGATATATTGGATGAACTGAAAAAGGAATACCAAAAATAGAAAACTTAGAGAAGACCAAAATCAAGGAATAGTCAAGCTGATTTCACGTGGCAATGTGTGGCATTTGTTGTTCTGTAAACTTTTCTGCTGAGCATTTCGGTCAAGATTTAAAAGAGGACTTAGTGTATAATCTTAAACAGCGGGGACCCAATAGTAGTAAACAATTGTTGAAGTCTGATGTTAACTATCAGTGTTTATTTTCTGGTCATGTTCTCCACTTGAGGGGTGTTTTGACTGTCCAGCCTGTGGAAGATGAAAGAGGCAATGTGTTTCTATGGAATGGAGAAGTTTTTAGTGGAATAAAGGTTGAAGCTGAAGAGAATGACACTCAAATTATATTTAATTATCTTACCTCCTGTAAGAATGAATCTGAGATTTTGTCACTCTTCTCAGAAGTGCAAGGTCCCTGGTCATTTATATATTATCAAGCATCTAGTCATTATTTATGGTTTGGTAGGGATTTTTTTGGTCGCCGTAGCTTGCTTTGGCATTTTAGTAATTTGAACAAGAGTTTCTGCCTCTCTTCAGTTGGCACCCAAATATCTGGAGAAACAAATCAGTGGCAAGAAGTTCCAGCATCTGGACTTTTCAGAATTGATCTGAAGTCTGCTGCCATATCCAGATGCATTATTTTACAACTGTATCCTTGGAAATATATTTCTAGTAGGGAGAATATTATTGAAGGAAATGTTAATAGCCTGAGTCAAATTTCAGCAGACTTACCAGCATTTGTATCAGTGGTAGCAAATGAAGCCAAACTATATCTTGAAAAACCGGTTGTTCCTTTAAATATGATGTTGCCAAAAGCTGAATTGAATACTCACTGCAGTAATATTTCCAATGTGCCACTTACGAGAGAGACACTTCAAGTCTTTCTTACCAATGTACACATGAAGGAAATAATTCAGCAGTTCATTGATGTCCTGAGTATCGCAGTCAAGAAACGTGTCTTGTGTTTACCTAGGGATGAAAACCTGACAGCTGATGAAGTTTTGAAAACGTGTGATAGGAAAGCAAATGTTGCAATTCTGTTTTCTGGGGGCATTGATTCCATGGTTATCGCAACGCTTGCTGACCGTCATATTCCTTTAGATGAACCAATTGATCTTCTTAATGTAGCTTTCATAGCTGAAGAAAAGACCATGTCAACTAGCTTTAACAAAGAAAGGAATAAACAGAGAAATCAATGGGAAATACCTTCTGAAGAATCCTCTAAAGATGTTGCTGCTGCTGCCTATGGCAGTACCTGATAATGTCTGTCAATGTGCCAGATCGAATCACAGGAAGAGCAGGACTAAAGGAACTACAAGCTGTTAGCCCTTCCCGAATTTGGAATTTTGTTGAAGTTAATGTTTCCATGGAAGAACTGCAGAAATTAAGAAGAACTCGGATATGTCACTTAATTTGGCCATTGGATACAGTTTTGGATGATAGTATTGGCTGTGCTGTCTGGTTTGCTTCTAGAGGAATTGGTCAGTTAGTGGCCCAGGATGGAGTGAAATCGTATCAGAGCAATGCAAAGGTATGACACAGTATTTCTTCTCATAAGAATTTCTGAGACCTATTTTTGACCCTCAAAGCTTTTAGTATTTTGATTGTAAGAATAGCGTATTTTACTTGCATTTAAGCTACAACACAACATGTATGACTTCTTTAGAATTGGATATATTTTACTTTATCTGGTTTTTCTCCAAAAGTGTTATCTTTAGGTTTGTAATTTTTTAAGCTTTTCTTTTCTTTTTCTTTTTCTTTTTTTTTTTTTTTTTTTTGAGATGGAGTTTTGCTCTTGTTACCCAGGCTGGAGTGCAATGGCGCGATCTTGGCTCACTGCAACCTCTGCCTCCTGGGTTCTCCTGCCTCAGCCTCCTGAATAGCTGGGATTACAGGCATGCGCCACCGTGCCCAGCTAATTTTTTGTATTTTTAGTAGAGACGGGGTTTCACCATGTTGACCAGGATGGTCTCGATCTCTTGACCTCGTGATCCAACCGCCTCGGCCTCCCAAAGTGCTGGGATTACAGGCGTGAGCCACTGCGCCCGGCCAGTTTTTCTTTTATTTTCTTTACTGTGTAGTTGATAACATTTTTATATGGATTTCTTTAAACTGCTTAGGTAGTTCTCACTGGAATTGGTGCAGATGAGCAACTTGCAGGTTATTCTCGTCATCGTGTTTGCTTTCAGTCACATGGGCTGGAAGGATTGAATAAGGAAATAATGATGGAACTGGGTCGAATTTCTTCTAGAAATCTTGGTCGTGATGACAGAGTTATTGGTGATCATGGAAAAGAAGCAAGGTAATTCTAATCATTTGAGTGTTGTTATGATATTTTTATAAAAAACAGCGGAGTGTAAATGGAGACTTGTAAGTTTCTTTTCTCTTGGAGCTTATCAAATGAGTAACAGTAGCAGCAATTATAGCTTGCTTTATGTTATAAACACAGAAACAGAGCTGGGAAGAGCTAGGAGAGCAGTTGTTTTCTAAAACTCATTCTCTAAGAAATGTCTTTTCAGCAATTTTCAAAGGTGACATAAGTACGTGATTGTTTTTAAGACTATAGTGAAAAAGACTGTCAAAGTAGGCCAGGCATAGTGGCTCACATCTGTAATACCAGCACTTTGGGAGGCTGAGGTGGGCAGATCACCTGAGGTCAGGAGTTCAAGACCAGCCTGGTCAACATGGTGAAACCCCGCCTCTACTAAAAATATTTTAAACAATTATTTGGGTGTGTTGGTGTGTGCCCATAGTTCCAGCTACTCAGGAGGCTGAGAATGACTTGAATCCAGGAGGTGGAGGTTGCAGTGAGCCGAGATTGTGTCACTGCCCTTCAGCCTGGGCAATAGTGTGAGACTCTGTCTCCACACAAAAAATAAATAAATAAAAGACTGTCAAAGTAAAACTGAGATTGTGAAATACTAAGAGAAGGTATTTAGAGGGATTTGTTCAGTTTTAAGTGTTTACTTTCCTCCCAGTAAGGGCATAAGCTCCCCCTGCAAGCTTTTTTCTTCAATGTTATAGAAACTGGCCTTGTCTCTATAGACATTTCTGTATGTATAGATCCATACTGATTTGAAGGTAGTCCTTAAACTGGATATTCCTCTGCCACATGTTTTTTGAACACAATTTAGTCACATACTGCAGATTACCTAAAACCTTCAAAGAGACCAAGGCACTTTCATGTATGTATTCTTGCTTTTCAGGTTTGTTTTTACCTATATCCTATTTCTGGTGGTAGTGAACAAGTGCAATATTTAAATATCCTTAAAACCTTAAGGATAAAGGAAGATGTGACATTTAAAGAGCAAAAATCCATTCAAGTAGGCTAATTTATTAAGTGGTAGTTTATTACAAGGGTACAAGCATCCAAGAACAGGAAGTCCAAGTAAGCTTCATACTACACTTTCTCTTTCTCTCTCTGTCTGAGACTTCATTGTTTCTTGTCTCTACCTGAGTCTTTTCCTCTTTCCACTGACTCTTGGTTGTCTTTACACAGTTGTCATTGTTAAGTTTCTGATCCTGGTCCATGTAAAATTTTGGCTACTACGTCATTATTCTGTCATAATTTTCAAGATTTCACTATAAAGAGATAATACAGTAATTCAAAGTATGTAAACTGTTTTCTCTTTGAAGAACATGAGAGAGAAAGAGGAGAAATTTAGTTTTATTTCAGCTAGGTCATAGAGAAGGGAATTTGTCTAGTAAAGTCACTTATGAAAGTATTATGCTCAAATAAAAATGCATATGAAGAATGTTTAAAGCAGCTAATACAGAATTGTGATCTAACAAATATTATAGTGGCTGGATCTAAATAATTTATTATGTATCTTGACATATATATTAACAATAGTGTGTTGATTTGATTCTTTATTTAAATTTGCTTTTGCAACTCATTGATTTTTATGTAATATTCCCTATAACAAATGTCTTTACCATTTCCAATCTCTTAACCTAGAATAAGATGTAATAAAACAGAAACACTAGTGTAACTGTATTGCATTTTGAGGCGTGGGATGGAGGGTGTTAAGTATTTTAAACAGAAAAAGAACAGAATTTTGTAAAAATTGGGGAAGCAAAAGGGCAGAAAGTTATTTTTTTTAATCTAATATTTTGTTTCTATATCATCCCAGAATTTAGGGGAAAAAAATCTAATATTTTGTTCTGTTATACCAATTTATCACCGTTTAGTTGGTTTAAGTATAATTTAAACAATTTTGATTAACAAAGTTTTACCATAGGTAAGCGTTTTTTAGGCTCAGGACTGTGGAGCCCTTCTATATTCGTTCCATATCCCTAAAGTGTCATTTCTTTAGATGGGATAAAGGTCAGACACAGATTGAATAGTTAACCAAGATCATGCTTGTAGGCCAGGTGCAGTGGCTCACACCTGTATTCCCAGCACTTTGGGAGGCTGAAGCAGGTGGGTTACTTGAGTTCAGAAGTCTGAGACCAGCCTGGGCAACATGGCAAAACCTCATTGCCACCAAAAAAATACAAAGATTAGCAGGGTGTGGTGGTGCTCGCCTAGGCAGGAGGATTGCTTGAGCCTGGGAGGCAGAGGTTGCACTGACCTTGATCCAATCACCCCACTGCATTCTAACCTGGGCAACAGAGCGAGACCCTGTCTCAGAAAAGAAAATCATGCTTTTTTTCAGGGCGTCCACAAGATACCTTGTAAAACAATTTGAAATTATTTCCAGGACACCATAAACCTAATTTATTTGAGACTAGACTATTTTGTAGTATATATATTAAAATTAGTCATACATTATGAAACACTTTTAATGTGACTAAATTTTAGCTATAAGTTATTATAACAGGTTGATTTTATTTTTATGTAGTGGTTATATTATCTGTCTGTTTATTTTAGATTTCCTTTCCTGGATGAAAATGTCGTCTCCTTTCTAAATTCTCTACCAGTTTGGGAAAAAGCAAACTTGACTTTACCCCGAGGAATTGGTGAAAAACTAATTTTACGCCTTGCAGCTGTGGAACTTGGTCTTACAGCCTTCAGCTCTTCTGCCCAAACGGGCCATGCAGTTTGGATCAAGAGTTGCAAAAATGGAAAAAAATAATGAAAAGGCATCTGATAAATGTGAACGGCTCCAAATAATTTCCTTAGAAAATCTTTCTACTGAAAAGGAGACTAAATTGTAATGTGATTCACAATGTAACTATGTTTATATAAAAGTAAAAATACTCTGCTGCTTTATTGCTGTATAATATAGTAGTTTTAAAGGTTATTTGGGTGAATTTTCATTTTTTCTTGTCACAGAGCTCCTAAAACCATGGGATTTCCTTAGAGATAGGGAGTATCTTTTGTTATTCATAACAAGCCCCTTTTGATCACACCTGAGTTGATGCTAATGAGGTGACTTAGGGTGAGGTCTCTAAATAGCCTTTAAAACCTGCAGTTTGGGAGGCCAAGGTAGAGGGATCTCTTGAGTCCAGGAGTTTGAGATTAGCCTGGACAACATAATGAAACCTCATATCTACCAAAAAAAAAAAAAAAGTACAGAAAATTAGCTGGGCATGGAAGAATGTGCCTCCCTGTTTGGGAGGCTGAGGTGGGAGGATTACTTGAGCCCAGGAAGTCAAGGCTGCTGGGAGGGGTAGGATCACGCCACTGCGCTTAAGCCTGGGCAACAGTGAGACCCTGTCTGAAAAAAACAAAACAAAAACACAAGTGACTAGAAAAGTTGGAATTTCATCTCCACGCACCAGCCTCTGGGAGAGAGGGTGGTACTGACGATTAAGGTCTGTTAAACTCTATAAAAACTGTTGAACAAGATTTGATGAGCCTCTGGTTTGTTGAACATATATAGATGCTGGGAGTGTGGCATGCCCAGAGAGGACATGGAAGCTCTCCTCACTTTAATACTTTTTTAATACTTTGCCTTATGCATCTCTTCCATCTGGCTGTGCCTGAGATGTATCCTATATTATAAGCCAGTAAACACAAGTATTTCTATGAGTGCTGTGAGCCATTCTAGCAATTATTGAACCTGAATAGAAGGTCATGAAAACCCCAATTTACATAGCTGGTCAATCAGAAGTACCAGAGATCCAGACTTGAAATTTCCATCTGAAGTAGAGACAGCTTATGGCACTGAGCCCTTAACTTGAGGATCTAACACTAACCAGGTAGATAGAGGCAGGACTAAATTGTAGGATACCCAGCTGGTATTCAGAGAGCTGGAGAATTTCTTGGTGTGGAAAAAATCCACACATCTGGTGTCAGAAGTGTTGTGTGAGAGTGAAGAGAAAGTTTGTTTTCTGAGACTCAGTCTTTGATAGCTCCATCCAGAAATGATTCAGTTCCCTCTCTTCGGGGATCATGGTTTAGATTAGGGTCCTGTTTGACAGATGACAGAACTACAGGTTTAGAGAAGCTAAACAATTTGCTTACGGTTCATCCTCCTGAACAGTACTTGTTACTTCTATTACATTTAGGCAGTTCATTTTCCCACCCCAAGAACTTTTGAAGACTACAGTTGACCCCTGAACAACACATTTGAACTGTGCAGTTCTGCTTACATGTGGATTTTCTTCTGCCTCTGCTGCCCCTGAGACAGCAAATCCAGCCCCTCCTCCTCCTCAGCCTACTCAACCTGAAAACAAGGATGAATACAACTTCTACTTACTGTGTTTTGCCTCTCATCCACAGTCACTTTCTCCACCTTTTTGTCTATTCACTCCAACCTGATATCCACCCACATTGCTTAACTGTAAACTGCCATACCAATGTCACTGTGAAATTTGTCCCCAATTAGGGTCGACACTGTTTCTGGATCTGGCCACCCTTTGATTCTTTAATCATAGTAGCAAAGAAATTTTAGGATCCTGACAAACAGGTCAGTAAACTGGCAAAGGCTTTCACAGGCCCCAAATTTATTTCCTGGAACATTCAATGTTCGGCCTAGATTTAGATACTACCTACATAGCTTTCATCCCTCCATCTCAAATAGACAACTTCGAGTGTCTGTGTGATCCTGAGCACTAAATTGACATTGCTTATATCGGGACTAGATGAACTTCAGAAGTTTGCCCCATGGCCTAGATAGATTATTATAACTATACAGTTCAATACTGAAAAGAGCTAGTGACTTATATAATACTGTATTTCAGGTGCTACTCTACAAGATTTAAATGTATTCATCAGTTGAACTTTTATAAGGAATTTCCAGGTCGTCTGTTCCACCAGGATACTGTGAGAGAGAGAGAGGATAGACATGCATTTATGTGAACCCCAAGAGGGCCTGGGTATTTACAGCCTTCTGCTATTCAATTCCATTAGCTCTGGGATGAAGTTCTGTGTTGATCCTTTAAAAAAGGAGGCAACTTTTTTCCAAGATTTGAGACATATGGAACAACAATTTGGCTATCTGGAAAAAAAAAACAAAACACAAATCCTTGAAGTAGGAGATTCATATTTCATGAGGCAAACATGCAAATCTTTGTTTTAAAAAGTCCTGGAATAGTCCTCATAAGTTTATTAATATTTATTTCCATAGTAGCTAAAATAATGACATGGTTCCTGGAGGAGAACTTATGCCCCAGTCACCAAGAACTGCTGGTGCTACATTCCATGCTGCTACATTCAGTGTCAGAGTTTTTGTTCTCACCTCCCCTGACCCAGCAGCAGCATCCAACAAAGTTGGCTTTTCCTTTTTTTTTCCCCCTTTGGCTTCTGTGACCAATTTTGGTTTCCGTCCTGCCTTCTTGGCTGTTCTTTCATTGTCTTCTTTGCTGACTCCACTCTCTACCTGACCTTTAAATGTTAAATTCTCAGGTCTAATCCTTGGTTCTCAACTCCTCATTCTGTACGCTCTCCCTTGGTGATTTCAACCTCACTCCTGTCTTCAATTACCACAAACTTGCCAAAATTTATACATCTAACCCCTACTGCCATTCTTAGCCCAGAACTGTTTATCTAAGGCATATCTCACATCTCTATTTATTTCTCTCACAGCTACTTCAGGGCCAATTATGTCCACAACGGAACTCTTAATCTTGCCCTGATATCCTGTTGCTCCTGACAGAAATTTGGTTCTTACTTGGACACCACCTTCTCTTTCAACATATCCCCATTCAATCTGTCACCAACAATCTTCCTCATTATTTTTCAAATCTGTCCACAGTCCCCGAGCCCCCACCTCCACTGCCACTACTGTAGCCTAATCCTTTGGGATGAAATTCAAAATCATTACTCAGCAGCCTGCAGGATCTGTCCATCGCACACCTCTGCAGCCTCGGTTTGTGCCCACATCTCTCTTGTTCTCTGCCAGGGTTTTGCTCTGTTTCTCAAACATTTCAACTTTCTTCTCACTTCAATTCTTTGTCTCCTCCTGTTGCCTGTTCCTGAAAAGCTACTTCTCCAGTTCTTTGCTTGGATAGCTCTTTTTCATTTTCCAGGCTTGCGGCGGTGGCGGCGGGTGGGGGCGGGGGAGGGAAGAGGGTGGGGGATGGGGAGTGGGGAGATTGGTGGGGGGTGCTAAGGGCACTTTCTCAGGCAGCCTTTCCTAGTCCTGGGCTAGGTTAGCTTTCATTCGAGTGCTGTCATTCCATCTCCTTTTGGCACACTGTTAAATATAGCTGTGAGATGATCTTTTTAACTGTAAGCTCCTTGGAGTTTTGTGTCTGCCCTGTTTTCTAGGGTTTCTAGCTTGTAGCTCAGTGCCTGGCTCATAATAGGTGTTCCATAAATGCTTGTTGAATGAAAGAATGATGATGGAGGTGGCATTCCAACTCGGGACTGCCTCAGAGCCCGGCGCTTTCTCCTCTGCCACTCTGTTACCGTGTTTTAGAGGCAGGTAGTGAGTGCGGCACATGCCCAGGGCAAGCAGCTGGATTGAGCTTTAAACTGGCTTGGGAAGATGAGCACGCGGTGGTCTGAGCCGCTGAGGGGCCGGACGCCGCCTGGGGGCGCTGCAGCCCCCGCGGGACGCCAGGCCTAGTCGCCCACAGGCTCCGCCCCAGGAGAGGCCCCGCCAGCCCAGGGCCCGGAGGACCAATCGCCTCGACCCGCGCGGGGCGGCGGTTGTGTTGGCTGGTGAGGCCAGGAGGGCCGAGTCGCCGCGGTGGGGCGAACCTCCCGGAAAGTTCCTCTCAGTTTTTTCCGGTGCGCCTCGGCTCGCCCATGCGGGGGCCTTGAGGGCGGATTCAAGGCCCTGCGAGAAGCCATTTAAGGCGGCGGCGGCTGTTCTCAGTCCCACAGGAACGGCGGGGACGCAGCGTTCCTCTCCCGGACAGGAAAACAGTCATTCTAGAGCAGGTCCCTCTCCTTGTTCTTTCCCCTTTCCCGTGCCCATGGCAGACCCGAGCTGCTTGTGGACGTGGGTTCTGTTTCTGAAAGGCGTGAAACCTCAGACATGTCTGCAACCTCCTGGTCTCCGTTTCTGCCTGTAGAAAGAGGGCATAACAAGGTCTAATTCACTCACCTGAGGTCTCAAGTGTGGCGCCCAAACCAGCAATATCAGCATTTGCTGTAACTTTTCCAAAATGCATATTCTCTGGCCAACTCCAGCTGACTGAGTCAGAAACTCAGTGGTGGGATTCAGCCATTTGTATTTGAACAAGCCCCAGGTGATTTTGATACAAGCTAAATTTTGAGACCCACTATATAACAGAGACCTGTAAGATAAAATAAATAAAACTATTATATAGTAAAGAGTCTGGAATATAGTAGATGCTCAATAAATAGTAGTCATGGTTATTATTATTTATTCCAGGAATAGAGACACATTCAGTGACACAGAAATCGAAGGTTAAGCAAATTGCACAGATGCTTCTTTTCTTTTCCTTCTTTCCTCCCTCCTTTCCTCCCTCTTTTCTTTGTTTCTCTCTCTCTCTCACCTCTCCCTACCTCCTTCCCTTCCTCCCTCCCTCCCTTCCTTTCCTTTCTTTCTTTTCCTTTTCTTTCCGGAGTTTCGCTCTTTTTGCCCAGGCTGGAGTGCAATGGCGTGATCTCGGCTCACCACAACCTCCTCCTCCCGACCTCAGGTGATCTGCCCGCCTCAGCCTCCCAAAGTGCTGGGATTACAGGCATGAGCCACCATGCCTGGCCCTTTCCTTTTAAGCAGGTCATTATAGTCTTGCTTTTAAAAAAGAAAAGAAACATCCATATGGCTTGGATATTTACCCACTCCAAATCTCATGTTAAAATATATTCACCAATGTCGGAGGTAAGGCTTGGTGGGAGCTGTTTGGACCATGCGGGCAGATCCCTCATGAATGGCTTGATGCTTTACAGGCAGAGTGAACTCTGCCTCTGAGCTCATGAAAGATCTGGTTAAGAGTCCCGTCTCTTCTAAAAATACAAAAAATTAGCTGGGCCTGGTGGCGCGTGCCTGTAATCCCAGCTGCTCAGGAGGCTGGGGCAGGAGAATTGCCTGAACCCAGGAGGCAGAGGTTGCGGTGAGCTGAGATTACGCCATTGCACTCCAGCCTGGGCAAGAAGAGCGCCAAAAAAAAAAAAAAAAAAAAAAAAAGAGTGGACATTTCCTCTTTCTCTCGATTGCTCCCTCTGTTACCATGTGACACGCTGGCTCCCCTTCGCCTTCCACCATAATTGTAAGCTTGGTCTCACCAGAAGCTGAGCAGATGATAATGCCATGTGTGTATAGCCTGCAGAACCATGAGCCAAATTTCTTTATAAATTATTCAATCTCAAGTATTCCTTTATAGCAACCAAACAGACGAACACAAACATATACAAAAGAAAGCCTCTCCAACAACAAAATAGGTATGTAACAGTAGCTTCTCACACGTAAACTTAATATTTCTTTTTGACATACATCTTCTTTTGACTTCTTTGAAAAGCAGAACATGGTTAATGTTAAAGGTTTTATAATTCTAATTATTTAATTCAAATTTCATCTTTCATGTACTGCAGTTATTTTTAATTTGAACAATGTAATGGTTGACCATGAAAAAATTAACCTTATGTAGGTGAAAGGTACAGATTTATTTCTAGAGAAATCCAGCTTCATTCCTATGTCAGATTTCTTTGATGGTCTTTTCCTCTTTATTCATTGCAGAAACTTCAAAAAGGACACACTGGTTTTAATTAGTAATGTTAAGATTGCCCAAAAAGTTCAAGATGAAGAAACCTTCCTGGAAAATTTAGCAATACAAAGAAATGCATTTGCTTTTTTTGAAAAATATGATCGGAGTGAAATACAAGAGTTAGTAACTACTGCACTGGTTAGCTGGTTGTCTACCAAAGAGGATGGTCGCTCTCAAGTAGACATGCCATGTGGAATTATGAGTCAAATGAATAACATAGGCTTCTCCACTGCAATCCTGACTCCTGTGGACCCTACTGCCCTCTTAGACTATAGAGAAGTCCATCAGATAATAAGAGAGTTGGCTATTGGAATTTATTGCTTAAATCAAATCCCTTCCATCAGTTTAGAAGCTAACTATGATCAGAGTTCTTCTTGTGGGTTACCTCCAGCTTATTATGATACCGGAATTGGGCAAATTCTGATCAATGTTGACTATATGCTGAAAGCACTATGGCATGGAATATCCATGCCCAAAGGAAAACGAGCTAGATTCTCTGAATTGTGGCGTACCATCCTGGACATTGATCCTGATGGAAAACCTCAAACAAATAAGGACATTTTTACAGAGTTTAGTTCAGCAGGTAAGAGAATTTAACACTTCTTAAGTCTTTTTTTTTTTTTTTTTTTGAAATGGGATCTTACTGTGTTGACCAAGGTTGTCTTGAACTCCTGCGCTTTAGCCATTCACCCACCTAGGCCTCCAAAAGGGCTTGGATTACAGGGGTGAGCCACTGTGCCTGGCCACTTCTTAATTATTTTTATTAAAAATCATTTAAAATTTTTAAAAATTTTATTTTGATAGTTTTGGGGGAAACAGGTGGTTTTTGGTTATATGGCTAAGTTCTTTAGTGGTGATTTCTGAGATTTTGGTGCACCTGTCACCCAAGCAGTGTACACTGTACCCCAAGTGTAGTCTTTTATTCCTCACCCTCCTCCCACCAGAGTCCCCAAAGTTGATTATATCATTTTTATGCCTTTGCATCCTCATAGCTTAGCTCCCACTTGTAAGGGAGAACATACAGTATTTGGCTTGCCATTCCTTAGTTACTTCACTTAGAATAATGGTCTCCAGCTCCATCCAGGTTGCTGTGAATGCCATTATTTCATTCATTTTTATGGCTTAGTAACATTCCCTGGTGTGTGTGTGTGTGTGTGTGTGTGTGTGTGTGTGTATCACATTGCCTTTTCTTTTCTTCTTTTCTTGTTAGAGATGAGGGTCTCCCTTTGTTGAACATACTGGTCATGAAATCCTGGCCTCAAATGATCCTCCCATCTTGGCCACGCAAAGTGCTCGGATTACAAAAATGAGCCACTGCACCCAGCCACCACATTTTCTTTATCTACTTGTTGGTTGATGGGAGTTTAGTCTGGTTTTGTACTTTTGCAATTGTGAATTATGCTGCTATAAACATGCATGTGCAAGTGTCTTTTTCATATTGTGACTTTTTACCTCTGGGTAGATACCTGGTACTGATATTGCTGGATCAATCTACCTTTAGTTCTTTAAGGAATCTCCATACTGTTTTCCATAGTGGTTGTACTAGTTTACATTACAATCCCACCAGCAATGTGGTAAGTATTCTCTTTTCACCACATTCATGCCAACATCTATTTTTTTTATTTTTAAATTATGGTCATTCTTACAGGAGTAAGATGGTATCTCAGTGTGGTTTTGATTTGAATTTCTCTGATAATTAGTGATGTTGAGCATTTTGCATATGTTTGTTGGCCTATTGCATATCTTCTTTTGAGAACTATCTATTCATGTCTTTTGCCCACTTTTTGATAGGACTGTTTGTTTTTTTCTTGTGATTTGTTTGAGTTCCTTGTAGATTCTGGATATTAGTCCTTTGTTGGAAGCATAGTGTGCAAATATTTTCTCCCACTCTGTTGTCTGTTTACTAATTTTTTTTCTTTTCTGTTTAGAAGCTTTTTAGTTTAATTAGGTCTCATCATGTTTGTTTATGTTGCATTTGCTTTTGGGTTCTTGGTCATGAACTGTTTTTCTAAGCCAATGTCTAGAAGGGTTTGTCCAAGTTATTTTCTAGAATTTTTATGGTTTTAGGTGGTCTTAGATGTAAGTATTTAATCCATCTTGAGTTGATTTTTGTATAAGGTGAGAGATGAGGATCCAGCTTCATGTGGCTTGCCAATTATCCCAGCACCATTTGTTGGATAAGGGTGCCCTTTCCCCACTTTATGTTTGTGTTTGCTTAGTCAAAGATTCAATTGGCCATAAGGACTTGGTTTTATTTTCATATTCTCTATTCTGGTCCATTGGTCTATGTGCCTATTTTTATACCAGTACCACATTGTTTTCATAACTATAGCCTTGTAGTATAGTTTGAAGTCAGGTAATGTGATGCCTCCAGATTTGTTCTTTTTCCTTAGTCTTGCTTTAGCTATGTAGGCTCTTTCTGGTTCCATATGACTTTTAGGATTGTTTTTTTCTAGTTCTGTGAAGAATGATGATAGTATTTTGATGATAATTGCATTGAATCTGTAGATTACTTACGGCGGTATGATCATTTTCATAATATTGATTCTACCCATCCATGAGCAGGGGATGTGTTTCCATTTGTTTGTGTCATTAATGATTTATATCAGCCATGGTTTGTAGTTTTCCTAGTGAAAATAGTTTACCTCCTTGTCTAGGTATATTCCTAAGTATTGTATTGTATTGTATTGTATTGTATTGTATTGTATTGTATTGTATTGTATTGTATTGTATTGTATTGCATTGTACTTTTTGCAGCTGTCGTAAATAGTTTCTTGGATATTGTATTGTATTGTACTTTTTGCAGCTGTTGTAAAAAGTTTTTTGGATGAATCTTTGGAGTTTTCTAGGCAAATGATATTATCATTGGCAAACAGCCACAGTTTGACTTCCTCTTTACCAATCTGGATGCCCATTATTTATTTCTCTTGTCTGATTGCTCTGGCTAGGACTTCCAGTACTATGTTGAATAGAAGTGGTGAGAGTGAGCATGCTTGCCTTGCTCCAGCTCTCAGGGGAAATACTTTAAACTTTTTTCTGTTCAATATAATGTTGTCATTGAGAGCTTTTATTACCTTGAGGTATGTCCTTTCTATGCCCATTTTGCTAAGGGTTTTAATCATAAAGCAATGCTGGATTTTGTCAAAGGTTTTTTCTGCATCTATTGAGATGATTTCTGTTTTTAATTCTGTCTATATGATGTATCACATTTATTGACTTGCATATGTTAAACCATCCCTGCATCCCTGGTATGAAACCCACTTGATCATGGTGTATTATCATTTTTGATATGCTATCAGATTTTGTTAGTGTTTTGTTGAGGATTTTTGCAACCATGTTCATCATGGATATTGGTCTGTAGTTTTCTTTTTTTGTGATTTTTTTTCCTGGTTTGGGTATTAGGGTGATAAAGCACTTTATTGTAAACACACCCAGCACTATCCCAAGGCACATGATAGTAGAATGACTGGATTTGGAGAGGTTCCCAGCCTTATTTATAAATAATTTTAAAAAGATTTGAGGCAGAGAGCAGTCAGAATGCTGTTGCAGTGGAAAGGGGTGTTCTATATTACAGTGTTGCAGTAGAGATAGGTCGAAGTAGATGATTTTGAGAGATATTTTAAAAGTAGAATGACAAAACTCAAGACATAAGTTTTATACCAGGAAAGGACTGATTTTGGCTGATATGCATCAATAACACCACATTGTTAAAATATTGAACCCTTCAATTGGAAAATTGAATTACTGCAGCCCCAAGCTCTTTGAATGCTTCCCTCCCCAGGGATACCCTGAAAAGCTGCATGATCCAGAAAAGGGTAAATATGACAAGCAGGAGGTCTCTGAGATCCTGCTTCAGCACTGTGGCTAATGTCTATTCTTATTGGTCAGTGCCAGTGCTATGCTGGTGGCTGTTTTGAGAATCACCCCTGAAAATGTAGGTGTAGAAAAGACAGCATTACTCTTTTGGTGCTCTCCCTTTCCACCTACAACTTGATTAGAATGTCCCTATGTGTCTCAGTTCACCACTGCAAGGGAATCCTCATAGAGGATGGCCCTCAGATATGACAGAGAGCTGGGTGAAATAGACCAAATCCTGGGCCATGACGTTGCTTGATGTAACTAACTTTGCCATCAAGTAAGCAGGAGTCTAACAGCTGTGGCAGAGAAGGCTCAGGACAAAAATAAGTATCCTGTGGTGCACTTGAGGAAAGGTGCAGTCAGGTCAAGCCTGTATGGAGCAAAAACTACAGTTTAAAAGTGTGGTCTGAAAGAATGTGAGGCAAGGAACAAAAGGTGGCTGGTACACAGTGTGACTCATGTAAATTAGGCTGTAGCCCTTTCTTCCAAGCTTAGTGTCAGAGATTGAGGGAGTGTACCCCCTCTCCACTGGTATGATCAGAGAGCTGGTGTCCAAGCTTTGTAATTGCAGCTACATGGCAGCAAGCTAGAAGCAGTGTAAGTTGTTACATCACCATTCATGTTTGGGAAAACAGCAACTCCTCTCTTGGCATGACTGGGAAACTGGGTTCACACCCTGCACCTGACCATATGATTATCTTAAACACTGTGCTACAGTGGATTTCCAAGAAACTGTGTAGAAAGCCAACTCTTTCTGGGAGGGCAGACTGCTAGGAATCAGTCTTGGTCAAGTGAACCTTTGCCTCTCACATAGCTTTGCATTGTACAAATCACCAGCAACACCATTCTTTAAAAACGGTAGCAATTGTAGAGAATAGAGCACATCGAAAAATCTGGTCATGTTATCCAGTTTTCTCAGCAGGGATTTTAATCAGGGTGGATCCCTTGATCTAATTGTCAAATTCTTGGACTCTTTCCAGAAGGCTAGGGGGATGGAATGAAAGAAGAAAACATTTCATGATAGCAAAATAGGAGAAGGGAACTTTTAATTGAAATATTGAAAAAAAATTATTATTTTTCTGTTCATTCCCTGTTCTCTCTTGGGAATGCCTTCTTCCTGCTCACCTCACACCACTCATCCACATTCTTCCTAGGGTTATTGCTATTCATTTTTTGAGACTTGATTCAGACACTACCTCCTTTATTTGGACTCTTATCTATGCACAGAGAAATACTTTGTATTCTGAATTGAAATTATTGGCTTAATTTTCTTTCTTCCATAATAGACATTAAGCTTTTTCTTGAGAGCACAGAAAATTGTCTCGTTTTGGCTTTATTTTAAATTCTCAGAACCTTGTACAGTGTATGACATATAGTAAAGTTTCAGTACATGTAGAAATTAAATGGATAATAGAATAGAAGGGAATTGGCCAGGCACAGTGGCTCACGCCACTTTAGGAGGCTGAGGTAGGTGATTCACTTGAGCTCAGGAGTTCAAAACCAGCCTGGCCAATGTGGTGAAACCCCATTTCTACAAAATTAGGTGGGCATGGTGGTGCATTCCTATAGTCCCAGCTACTCGGGAGGCTGAGGTGGGAAGATCACTTGAGCCCAGGAGGTTGAAGCTGCTGCAGTGAGCCAAGATCATACCACTACACTCCAGCCTGGGTAACAGAGACCCTATCTCAAAAAAAAAAAAAAAAAAGCAGAGAGATTAAAGCTGTG